GAGTTCCTGGTTGTTTTTGCAGTGCCTGAGGGAGACAGCAGTGCTAACAGCTAGGACCGAGGCAAAGTTGTAAGAAACACTACGCCAGCAGCGGATGCTGCTAGTATTTCTGCAAGAGGAGCCGAGACAGAGAATAACCTCTGACAGAGCGACTGCAGTGGGGCAATACCTGCTGGGAGCCCTGCCTAGGCATGCCTCCAAGTGACTGAGGCTAGGTGGCTTTTTGGGAAAGTGTTGTTCAATGAAAGATATCTTTATTTTTCATGGGCTCATTTGGTGATTTCTGCTTTATTTGCTCCTTGTTAAAAAAAAAACAAAAAAACAGTGTAGAGCAGTGGATAGAGGTCCTGAAGCCAGGAAGACCCAGATTCTAATCCTGCTTCTATGACATACTGGCTGTGTGGCCCAGGGTAAATTGCCAAACTTACTGCTTAGTGTTAAGCAATTAGAAGGTTCCAGCATGAATTGGTGCATGTAGTTTTCTCATCTGGGAGTTCCATACACTAGTGAAATCATAGTCCCTATTTTATCTGTCACTCTATGAACTATATTGGCAGCCAGTCTGTAGTATACTGAGGATGGGGACGGAGAAAGGGGACCACCAAGGAATGTTTCCCAGCATTCCCATTTCTGGGCTATGAACCAGAAGAGTGAAAAAATCCCTCAAAATATAACTGTCCCCTTTTGTCACGTTTTTGAAACAAGTCTTACACTCAAATCTTTTCTCTTCCTCCTCAGTTCCAACTCTTTCCTAAACCAGTTGGGAAGAAAGAATGGCAGACAGAAAGAACTGGCATGTGACTGGTGTTCTGCCGTTAGCGATCTCTGAGGAACTGTGACAAATAGGAAAGATGCTACTGAACTGGAAGGGGGAAATATCACCATTTTCAGAAAGGGGAAGATGGCGGGCGCTTCGGACAATACTCTGGCTAATCTGATAATCTCTGGCAAAATTCTAGAAAGAATTACCAAAAGATTAGTTTGTGATCTCATAGATATGGAAGTAGTTCTCATGATAAACCAGCATGTGTTCATTAAGAACAAATCATGCCAAACTAACATCATTTCCTTTTCTGACAGAGTTGACAAGTAGATCTAGAGAAAGTCTTATGGACCTAGTTAGCATATCTAGATGAGAGCAAAGCATTTGACAAAATGTCTCGTGGTATACCTATGGACAAGACAAGATCTATGTAGTTGGTGTGGTAGTTTCAGATCCCATTGACTGGTCATTCTCAAAGGTTGTTGATTAATTGACCAAGGTCTGGCTAGAGAGAGTTCCTCTATGAAATGACCCAGAACTCTGGTCCTTGGTCCTTTTCCATTCAATATTTATGTTAATGACTTAGATAAATGAATAAATGGAAAACAGATCAAATTTGCAGATGACCCAGAGCTGAAAGGGATAAGGAAGTTTTAATGGCTAAAAATCTTGACAGGGCTAGGGCATTGGGCTGAATCTAATAAAATAAAACTTAATGGGATTTTTAAAATTCTTACATTGGGGTTCACCAATTCCATTTTAGCAGTATAAGGTGGAAGAAACATAGCCATAAAACAGTTTGTCTAAAGAATATCTTGAGGTTTTAATAGGCTGCAAGTCCAATATAAGCTAGCAGAGTGAAATGGCATCTGAAAGGCCCATTCAGACTTAGGCTATGTTTAGCGATGCCTAGTGTCCAGGAATAGGGAGATGGTAATTACCCTGAACATTGCTTTAGCCAGATTTCTTGGGGGGGAGGAGGGGAATTGTGTTCAATTCAGGGCACCACATTTAAGAAGGGACATTCCTAAGCTGGATGGCAATAGAGAAAAATTGTCATGTTACTGAGGGTTCTAAAAGTCATATCATATGAAAAATGGTTGAGTGGAGAAGACTTAGGAGGTAAAGATGATTTTCATCTTCACATATTTGAAGGATTATCATTTAGAAGAGAGAACAAACTTGGTCTCCTTAGCATGGAGGAATCCCATTATCACAATCACTTTGTTTTCACACGCAATAGAAGACATTCACAAAGACTGTCTAGGTTCCTTCCTAGAATTAGGTGAATGTTATGAACAGGCAGATTTTAGATGAACATTAAAAACAACTAAAAATCAATCAATAAACATTCATTAATTACCTATCATGCGTTAGGCACTGTACTAAGCATTGAGGATACAAAAAGGGGCAAAAGACAGTCCCTGCCCTCAAGGAGCTTACAATCTATGAGGTGGACAACATTCAAATCAATAAATGCAAAGCAAGTGACATACAGGATAAATAGGAAATAATTAGCAAAGGGAAGGCACTGGAATTAAAAAGGGCTGGGGAAAACTTCCTGTCAAAGGTGGGATTTTGTTGGGAAGTAAGCAAACAACACTTCCCAGCAGTTAGAATTGTTCAAAAGCAGAATGTGCTGCCTCATAAGATGGTGAATGTTCTGTCCCTGGAGGAATTCACAGAAGCCTGGATGGCATTTTGTTGAGGGTATTATAAAGTTATTCATATTTAGGGTAGGCTGTGGCCTAGATGATGTCTGAGGTAGGTTTCTTGTTGTATAATTGACTCTATGAAAGAACCTAGAATGTCTTTATGAATGTCTTTTGTGTTGTGCGTGTTTGTGAAAACAAAGTAATTGTGATGTGATTCACTTGGTAAACTCTCAAGGACTCAAACTGTACATATTTATCATTCATCTACTTATTCTGCATAATATTCACCAGCATAGACTAGTGAATAAACAATTGATCTGGGATCCAGGAAGATCTGGGTTCAACTTTCATCTCTGACATACTGAAAGGATGAAACTGGGCAAATCACTTACATTCTCTATGCTCTAGGAAACTCTCTAAGCCTATGATTTTCAGAGGTGTTAATATGCACTGGCCAAGAGAGTTTTCTCCCCCAGGAGTTCTCTATAAACTGAAATCATACCTTCAGTCTTTATTCCTAATATTCACCAAATGAGGTGAAATGGGGAACTGAGAGGCATAAAGGCAAAATGCAATCAGCAAACATTTATTGCAAAAAGGTGGAAAGGCTGACATAGGTATAGGATGAAGAGGTCTGTATCACCTTGCTGTGAATATTGCCAGCTCCCATTCATGAGTTCTTCCTGGAACCTTCATTTTGGTGAAGGGCTCAGACCAGTCATCCCTCATTCTCCAGATTTACCCATCTTGCAAATGCTCAGGTACCACTCTCCCTCCCCTCTTTTCCACTTCGCTTCTTATGTGTTGTTTTCCTCTATTAGAATGTAAGCTTTTCGAGGGCATGGTGTCTCTTTTCTTCTTGGTTGTATTGTGTAGCCCCAGTGCTTAGCATAGTGCCTAGAACATAGTGAGAACTTAATAAACGCTTGTTTGTTGTTGACTGTTCATGATATGTAATAAATGTTCGCTTCAGCACATTGACATTACTTTTTGAAGAGAAAATCGAGCTTAAAGTGAGCAGGGTAAGCACAAACTGAGAAGTGAGGGGAAGAGAAAATAGTAAGTATTTGTTATCTGGTTAGAATGTAAGCTTTCTGAGAACAAATGCTGGCTTAGCGATTACTACTAAGACGGACATAGGTCTGCCAGGACATTTAGGCAAAAGCAACTTCATTCATTCCCTATTTGCATTATGGTGTCCTTATATATTCCACAATTTGTGGGCCTTCAGGGTTTGGTTTTATGAATATAGAAATGGATTTTGGTGATGGTAATTTTTGTAACCCATACCAGTCAAAGGATCAAATCTTTTCCATAAGATGACAAATATTACCAAGTCAAATTTTATGTGATTTGTCTAATTGCAAACTGAGGGACGGGAGATGAGCGCTCTGAAAAGGTTGGGATGATGGGCTGGGTAGGGCTAGGTTGAGCTGAGCTGGGCTGGGTTCATCGTAGAGGTAGAGGACGCAGATGGGAGGGGGAGGGCAGCAGCGCCCCCGCCTGGTTCCCTCTGCCGGCAGCGAAGGGTACAGTCACCGCCCGGCCCCAGGTGCCACTGGAGCGCCAGCTTTCCTCCCCTCTCCCTGCCGCCTGCACGGGGCTGTGGGGCTGGGAGCGAGCCGGGGCTCCTGGGGCAGCAGCATCCCTAGCAGGGCAGCTGCTGGCTGGCCGCAACCTCCTCCATTTCTCCGAAGGCGTGCGCGAGCTGGGGACTTAGTCCCCTGCTGTCTGGATCTCCCCGGACGCTCGGAAGTCCTCGGGTTTGGAGAGGAAAGGTGACCGGCTAGGAGGAGGGAGCAAAGGAGGCACAGGGACCAGCAGAGCCTCTCTTCTGCGGTTCTTGGCTGACAGCCCTGGCCGCCAGAGAAGCGCATCTCCGCTTTCCCCCTTGCCCCTGCGGCCGGTGACAGCCCCCGCCGGCAGCATCCGTCTGCCTGAAGTCTGGGAGCGCCCGGCCTCTCTCCGCTCTTCCCTATGGGGATCCGAGAGTTTCCAAACGGCGCACCCAGGGGCAAAACCATTGCGATGTGAGTAGCGCCAGTGGACAGGAGCCTGGGGAGTACAGGACGGGGAATCGCCCCCGGGGTAGGGTTGGACAGAAGGCCACCAATGGTTTCTCTTTTTTGTCACCCTTACGCCTCCCCATCTGTTCGTGGGTCAGGGACAAAGAGCTAAGGGAGAAGGTTGAATCAGGCACCATTTAGAGAAGTTGTATTTTCTTTTATTTTTTATTTGGCCCTTTCCTCTCTGAGATCTCAATGCCCAGAGACCTGGTGTTCGATACTCCCACCCAACTCATGCTCCCCTTTCGACGCAGCAGAAAGGACTTGAACCTGGTGCTTGCAGGAGAAACAGGAGTGGAGACGGAAAGGTGACTGGGGTGAAGAGGGGAAGGGAGGGAGGAAGAACGAGTAGCCCTTCTGCCTCTACCTGCATGTTGGAGGTTTGGGGACAGCTCCCTCTCCTTCCTCCTCCTTCATATCGGCTTATAGGATTCATTTATTTCCTTTCTTTTCTTCCTCTTTTCCCTCCCTCCCCCTCAACTCCCTTGCTTGGGAATCCCTGCTGGCTTCAGCGGCATGAGGAGGTCACCCGACGTCAGCCCCCGGAGGCTGTCGGACATCAGCCCCCAGCTCAGGCAGCTGAAGTACTTGGTGGTAGACGAGGCGATCAAAGAGGATTTGAAATGGTCCCGATCCGTGGAGGACCTCACCAGCACATCAGCGGGGCTCACTTCTATAGAGGAGCGGATCCTGCGCATTACTGGCTACTACGGCTACCAGCCCTGGGCAGCCAGCTACAAAAGTAAGACTGCCGCCTCCCTTTCACGCTACTTTCCCATCCTCATCTGTCCCAGCCACAGGCATCAACTGCAGACTCAGCATCCTTATCCAACTTTTCTGAAAACAGTTGCCTCAGGCTAACAGCTTAGGAAGGGTTGTGGGGCAGGACTTTTTACTTTCATAACCAAATATCCTAAATTCCTTAACTTATATTTGTCTATCTATACTTCCTCTCCCCCTAAACCCACACTCCATGCTCCAGAGAATGGAAAAAAAAAAAACGTTTGGTGGAAACCAAAGAATTAATTAATTCAGAATTCTAAATATGGTGGGCATTGTGCATCTCAAGGGCAGGATGTGTACTGATTCATTTTGTGGCTGGCAGCTTTCGGTATTTAGCCAAATATTAGCTCCTCTCGCCATATTTATGCAAGGTGAATTTAGGAGTGACAATTTACACCTAAGCCTTCCTTTGTCCCCAACCCTTATTATTCTGCTGAACTAATATTTTACTGTGTTCTAGTTGTTGACATGTGGTCTCAGCAAGATGGATAGCTAAAGCTATGTGGAAGTCAGTCAATTACCATTTGTTAAGCACTTGCTCTGTACCAGGCACGGTGTTAAGCATTGGAACATTTGAAACTTTTGTGGGTACCCCACCTGTTTTCTTTGGTAATATTTTAATTTACCAAATTAAGATTACCCACATCAAATTTAATTAGCTGGTCTTTCCTATCACTCAGGATGGGAGACAGTGACTAAAAACAAGTGTAAGACACTAGTAAATCTGGTCATAGCCTCTTGATACACTTTGATACAGCAAAAAGAAGATTGGCACTTGTCTCCCCAGTATGAAAAAGTAGGATGTAGTCACTGTTTTAGGGTTATGTCTAAGAGTTTGAAGATTTCTAAAGACATTAATCATCTTCATTGTTTGGACTGGATAAATGTTCTATTTGGTTCCTAGGAAATAAACTCAGGCTTTTGTTCTTAATCATTATAGGTCCTTAAAAAAAAAAATTCTATCTTTATATCATTCCTAGTGTCCCTGTATGCTGGTAGTTGTCTAGGTTAGTAATAAGACATCTGCAAGAAGGAGCAATGAAGTTGAATGGTTTCTTTTTTTTTTTTAAACAAGAACCATTATGATTGCATCTGGGTCAAAATAAGCCTTGTATCCTCTCACACCTCTTGTCTACAAGTGCTAAAAAACTTTCCTTGCTATGTGGGCTTTATATTGTATGGAAGACAGGTGAGGAAGCAAATTTGCCTTCCTACCTAAAAAGTCAGACACAAGGTGGAAAAAATTAAGACACATTATACATAGGTTTCTGTTTGGTTGCGTGGTCGTTTCTTTTTTTTTGTTTTTGTTTCCCGCTCCCCCCCCCCTGCCCCAGGTGACACAGGCTTTGCTTCTCTATCTGCTTTCTTTATTACTGAAGGGATCTCCATAAGATTGCAGACTTTCAGGACTCATCTGCTCTTTCCCTGAAATCATAACACTGTTTTTACTTTTCTAATTCTTCTTGTGACCAGCACAATTTGCTCCTTAGAAAAGGAATACTATATTACCAACGTCTGTGACTTTAGATATAAAAGAGTTCCCTTCTTGAAGTGAAACTGTTGCTTTTGTGCAAATACACTTAGAAATTAAGTCAGTAAGATGGCAGTAAAAATCTCCTGTCTTGTATCATTAAAGTTATTATTAAATGCAATTTTATTCCCCTCTAGTTGGAGATATTACTGACAGATAGAGGTAGCCTGGCATAGTAGATGAAGAGCTGTCCTGTAAGTCAGGAAGAATTGTATTCCAGTTCCACTTGCCTTTTACATGTAACAGCTGTGTGACCCTGGAAAACTCATTTTTTTCCCAATTTTTTAAACATATTTATTTAAAGTTTTGAATTCCAAATTCTATCCCTCCCTCACTCCCTCTGATGGTAAGCAATCAGATATAGGTTACACAGGTGCAATTACGTAAAACATTTCCATATTGGTCCTTTTTGTACAAGAAGATTCAAATAAAAGAAAAAAATGAAAGAAAGAAAGTGAAAAATAGCATGCTTCAGTCTGTATTCAATCAATATCAGTTCTTTCTATGGAGGCAGATAGTATGCTTCATCATTAGTCCTTCAGGATCATCTTGGATAATGGCTGAGAATAGCTAAGTCATTCATGGTTCTTCATACAAATTGCTGTTACCGTGTACAACATCCTACAGATTCTGTTCATTTCACCATGCATCAGTTCATGTAAGTCTTTCCAGGTTTTTCTCAAATCATCCTGCTTGTCATTTCTTATAGTACAATAATATTCCATTACAATCATATACCATAGCTTCTTCAGCCATTCCCCAATTGATGGGCATCCCTTTGATTTCCAATTCTTAGCCACCACAAAAAGAGCTGCTAGAAGTATTTTTGTACAAATAGGTCCTTGGAAAACTCATTTAACCTCTTAATGCCCCCAGAATCTAAAACTATAAGCTGCAGAGAATGTGCCATCTACATTGGTAGAGAAGTGAGGCACTCGAAGTTTCTTTACCCATGATTTCACTGGCATGTTCCAGATTGACAGATCATTCATTAATGGATTAAGCTGTAGTGGTTGTTGCTTTATAAATAAACCAAGTTCATTCTACTCTTCCTTTTCCTGTGAGAATAATTGTTTATTTCAAGATATTTTCTTTTTATAAAAATGCTTTGGGCAACAGATGACATTTTGATTGAATTAATGATATTTTTAAGTTTAAAGTTGCAAGGAATGATATTTTATTAATATGCCCAGAGAGGTTTCAGGTTACCATTCTGGCTTGTTACCATTGCTACTTAAGTAGGCGGAAAGGTTTATGTATTTCTTGTTTTCTGCTATTTACTTTGATTGTAGTTGCTGCTGCTGTGTGTGTGTCCGTGTGTATGTGCATGTTTTAAAGCATAGATATGGATTGTTAAAGAAATGTTAATCTTGCACTGTCCTGATTAAATTATAGAATGCTTCAAGCCTTCTCCTTATAATGAGCTTGTCAATCCAAGATACAGTAATAATTTAGACTTCCTGACATTCATCTTTCAGAATTTTTTATCTCTGTCCCAGCTCAAGAAGTTGCCAAGTAACAGTTTCTAGGCTCTGTTTGATAGGTGCAAATCAGCTGGTTTTTATATGGAAAAAAATTACTCAAATATCAGTTACATGAGAAATTGTATGTGCTTATATCTTTAGTTTCTTATATTAGGTGACTCATAGTTAAATAGGGCATTCACAAACAGGTCAAAAACCAGGTTTCCTTTAGTATTCCTCAATCAATCTACATAAATAAGTGACATCTCTGTGAGAATTATCATAAAAAGTCCTAGATTACCTTGATTCTAAAAGATATATACTATCCAGGTTACTGGAGCAGTGATTAAACTGCATACTATATAGTACTGCATAGTATATGGTATGGATATGCAGAGGACCACGTTTTGAAAGCCCTGAAGGGCTAAGAACCTATGAGGGTCCCGATCTGCCTTAGTCTGAATTTCTCTCTTTTCTCTTATCTCTCCGGGCTGTTGGACCAACAGACTCAGTGCACGAAACTCTTTCTCCCCTCCTCTTATTACCTAATCCAGCTCAAAACTGATACTTTAAAATTACCCCCCCCCAAAAAAGGGCTAACTCATTATTGTTATCTTTTATTGCAGTGTGATATATTTTAGAATCAGGAAGTGTTTGAGCTTGAATACCCCTATTTTAACAACTTCCTGTCTTCCCACTCATTATTTTCCTTCTTTTGCCAGGGAGAGCTAAGTGTCTCAGTGGATAAAACTTCGGGCATGATGGAGACAGGGTAGATCTGAGTTCAAATATGACCTCAGAAACTTAATAGTTGCATGATCCCAGGCAAGCTTCTTAACTTCTGTTTGCCTCAGTTTCCTTATCTCACAGAGTTGTTATGAAGATGAAATGAGATAATATTTACAAAGCCCTTAGCACAGTGCCTGGCACTATATAAATATTATTTTACCAGAACTGTTAAGACATAACAAAAGTAATGACCAAGAGTTCCTTCTTTCCTTTTTTCCTTCTCTGTCCTCTGGTGAGGATGCTAATAGATAATGGAATGACTATAAAAGGTAGTCATAAGAGGGACAATACATACTGAAGTGCATATATATGTATGTATGTATACACATATATATGTATATATGTATATGCATATATGTATGTATGAAAATATATATTTATATATGGTACACAAATTGAAGTTCAGTGAGTATTAACCAGTCTGATACTTTGGATCATTTCTTATGGGGCCCAGAGGGTTTTTTTTTTTCAATCTTTATATGAATGGTAATAACTATGTAAAAATAAAAGGCATCAATAAAATACATTTGAATTAAATAAAATAAAATGATATTAATGTATATGAAATAGCATGTTTTAATATAAGGGGCACTGGATTTGAAGTCAAAAGTTCTGGGTCTAGATTCTGGCTCTATTATTTATTAGACTAAGCTCCTTGAAGGTAGGGACTTTATTTCTTTTTACTTGTATTTGTATCCCCAGTGCTTAGCGTGAAGCCCAGCACGTAGTAGATGCTTAATAAATGTTTATTGACTAATTATCTGTGTCATTTTGGGAAAGTCCTTTAACTTCTCTCAGTCTGTTTTTCCACTTAGAAAATGAAGAAATTGAACTTGATCTAGGACATTTTGATTTCTTAATCCTATGATAAACTACATAGTATAAATATGCCTTTATTTAAAAGGAAAAACAAAACTTCCAAATCTTAACAGCTACATCAAATTAAGAAGTGAATATTTATTTTAATAAAGGATTCTTTGATTTCCAAAAGACTTTGTACTAGGGATGGGGGAAAACGTACATTAAATAATGAACTAAATATTTTTATAGTATGATTTTATTCATGAAAAAATTTTCAGGAACCTAGTAATAAGTTAGGTTATATGTGTGTCTGAATGTACAGAACTGTTTCTTAGTGACGATCTGTATAGACATCACCAAGGCCCTGGCTTTAGG